GGGGGGGGTGGGGGGGGGGGGGGGGGGGGGGTGTGGGCGTTTCCCCCGCCTGTGGCTCAGATATCGAGCGGCTCAAGCGGCTGAAACGGCAGAAAGACTCGGCAGCGTAATAGTGCGGCGATAACTGGCCCGTACGGCGAGGAGTTCCACCCCCCTGTTAAGGTAAAGAGGAGGGGGCTGCAACAGTGATTCAGGACGCGGCGGTCGGTCCTCTTCGACGCAGCGCTCCGCATTCACACTTTTGCTGGTGAGGGTCTCGTTAGGTTTGTGTGTGTGTGTAGGTGTGTATGAGCTGACGGCTGTGGAGAGAAGCGTTCAGGTTGCCAAGAGACGTCACCCGATTTGTTTTTTTTTTGTTTTTTTTTTTTTAGTGAGTTGAGAAGTGTTCCCAAGAGCAGCATGGATATTAGGATAGCACCCGAGTAGCACCAGGGTTGCCCGTCACTGTGGGTGTGTGTTTTGTGTGTGTGTTTGTGTTTGGTTGTGTTGAATGGATGTGGATATGGCCAGGTTCCTGAGACGATAGCACCAATGAATGTCCTCATCCTCACAAATCGGGATTGATTCGCGAGTGTGTGAGTGTTCTTTTTTTTTTTTTATATTTATTTTTTTTGTTTGTTTGTGAGTCTTTGTGGTCCCAGGCGGATCAGGATCTACCTGAAAAGTTTCTTCTCTCCACTTCACAGGAATGTATCAAAATGCTGGATTCTCTCCTCCATCTCCTGCGACACAAACAGAAAAACACACACACAAAAAGAGAGAGAGAGAGAGAAGCAGACACAGATCAGCACAAACCGCTTAATCTCAAGCCAACACAGCAAAATTGGATGTGTGTACAAAAGCATCTGTGCAACCGCCGTTTCAATATTACTTGGAAATTTCCCACAGCAAACAACAGCTTTCACCATGATAAATGATGTAAAGTGGAGTAAAGCCGTCGCTGGAGTAAGATGGGCGATTTCTCTCAGCGTGAAAACAGCAGAGTTTGACACTGACTACATCTGAGCGGAGCCAGAGGAAGAGAGATGGATGTTAGGCTGCAATAGACCATGATTAATGCCTTGAAGATGCTATGCTGCGTGTGTTCTCTAATCTGAACGGCTGATCGGCACGCGCGTGACAGACGCCCCTACCAGATATCAATTTCAGCAAAAGTTTAAATAAAAAAAATAAATTAAAAAAAAAAACATCAACTTTTCAGCAAAAAGCAATTTTGAGCATCTGAAGAGGGTAAACTTTTTCAGACGGGAGCCGCTTTGCATTAGAAACTTTGAAACTCCCTGTAGAAGCTGGAGAATGACTGCCAACTATAGGCGTTCTCTCCAAAGGCCTGGGCTGATGAGGTTTTAATAGTCTTCATTTTCTTTTTATGTAAATAAATTCGAAGAGATCGCTGCATCCAAAATAGACAAGGGGCTTTAGAACAACATACCTGATGATTACTGTTGTGCTTTTCCAGGGTGGAGAGATTACACAGCCAAGATCATTAAAACACACACACACACACACACACACACCCACACACGCACACACACACACACGCACACACACACACACACACACACAGATTGGGTGAATACAATTTAATTTTATGTATTTTCTCTAATCGACACAAAGTCAAAAATTACACATACAGACTCACATATAAATTTTAATTTGCCAAAATACAGGTAAAAACCCCAAGTTGAATCTCAGCCACACATCCACAGGTTTTCACGTGACAGGGTGAATATTTGACAGTTTCCCTTTAGCGGGATTTGGAAGAGCCGATTCAAACTGTTTTTGTTTCCTGGCACATATTCAACCTCTCTGCATAACATCCAGATATTCTGACGGGGTTGAGGTCGGGGCGTTGGCATAGTCGTTCCAGACGCTTACTGGCAGTTTGCATTTTCTATTCCAAAACCAATTTTGATAGATTTTAGAGTCGTCTGTCTTGTGTTCAGATTTCAGCCAACGGATTGAAGGATTGTTGGCGAGCAGCGCCTAACCTAAACTCAAGACAATCCAGACTTGCCGTGGAACTTACCAGAACGGGCCGTCCCTGTGGAATGTCAAGACCAAGCTCTTGAGAAAAACCTCGTCCCCCTAGCATCCACACTTCTCTACCTCCTCTCCTCCGCTCTATTTCTACTCTGTCACCTCTGACAGACTGGAGAAAAAGCATCTTCCAAATGCATAAAGTTGAACACACCTGACCCAATCCACCCCCAGGTGTAAATGTCGAAGACCAACCCAAGAACTCCATAAACTAGAAACTGCTAGGACCCGGATCTCTCTGCCCGAGGAAAAAAAAAGAGAATTTTCAAAAACCATCGAGAAAACTTTTGTGGTCAGAGGGGACAGGGATGTGGCACGGGGGAAAGATAAATGTTCCAAGAGTCCAAGTGAGACCTTTAAACCTAAAAACGCAGTAGGAACTGTGAAGGAAGGTGGAGGAAGGCAGCACCGTGCTTAGGATCACCACAATGATGGAACAAGAACCAACTCCAGACTCTTCAACTTCACCTCAAACCCACATGGAAAAGGAACGCAGCCAAACACAGAGCTTCTAAACAGGACACTGACCTGAAGTTTATTAAAGATTTATAAGCTTTGAACACCAGGAATCGGATTCACTACATGAACTACCATGTTTGTCAAAGTTGATCAAATATTTAAACAGAATCGTGCCAGAACCTTGTCAACGGTTCCAAAATGTGTTCTATGCAATGTACGACAAGGGCATCACACAAAGCAGTCTGTGTGTACAAAGCTTTTTTTTATGTTCAAAAATAAATGTACCTGAAACGTAGACTGAAAATCTTGTTTTTTAGAAATCGATTCCAGCATGAGCACAGAGGAGACCAAAGGCATAATTAAAACAAAACTTATCAAAGTAATGAATGCATGTAATCTAGTAATTGGCAGTGAAAATTGTGAAATTGGATAATTTAATCACTTAAATGTCATGATGTAATGTAATCTAAAGTAAATGCTGCATCGAGCCAGATGTTAGTGGTAAAGAACCAGCAGGTCTAAATGTCCCGATGGAGAACAATAGCAAACCTGGACCATGTTCCAATCAAAGCATTACCACCATGCTAATGCAACTATTTAACATTCAGATTTACTTCTGCGCTTTAGCCGGACACTCGACATCTTGCACAACCTTCATACTTACTTTTAGTAACGAGCTTGCAAGACTTTGCAAGGACCAACGGAACATCAATGAACCAGCTTGTTCAAAACCAACATGGAGCGTTTGCAGTGCAATGATGTCAAAAAAATATAAGCAGTGTATTTATTGTTTTAACTTTTATCGCACAAATTAAGCCCTCGGTACTTCTGCCTCAGCCATTAACAGCAGGTCGCGCAGACTGTAAACGATAACGGGGCAATAAGAGGTGGAAGCGATGCGCGACTGCATGAAATATGACTTATTTAGAAAAATCTAAAAAGGCGTCAGGCCATTAAACACGCCCAATGTTTTAGGCACATGTATGCTTTAAGCATCTGTGATTTTTTTATTTATTTTTTAATCCCCCCCATTTATCACTTGCACAACCAACACCGAGATGCTAATGAGCTCCGCGCTGCTCTGCAGATCTAAAAGTTTATCAGCCTCGGAGGCTTGGGACTGCATCGTCTCTAAAGTCTTTGCCGTTGCAACGCGTACCCCTGCGGTTGACCAGATGCAGTTACATTAGAGGACTAAACAGGGGAGCGGCGGGGGGCTTTCGAACACGTTTACTCAAAGTTAAGGGTTTGTGGCGCAATAAAATCCCCCTGGGTCAGACAGAAGCCACTGTTAATAGGTTGGCTAAGGTCAAAGGGTGTTGAGGGAGTTCAGCAAATTCACTAGCATGTTAAGGCGATACCTGTGTAGCTCTGAGGAAACCAATTCAGATTAATTCTGGTCATTTTGCTTCTTCATTTCATACTTATATGTTTTTAGTTTTTTTGTATAAAACGGAAGACATCTGAAACCAACCGCGAGTCGAATGCAAATTGCGGCTCACTAGAGTCTGCTCGTCGTCTAACAAAGAAATGTGGCCATCCGACTCACGTAAACATCACACCATCCGGATCAGGATCCATATCAATCAAAACGGGACGCGCCATAAAAATCTCCAGAAAATAATAGTCAGTTAACAAGAAATGACATGCCTGGTTTAAGCAGTCGATGAGTGTTTATACTTAAAATTAATTAAACACAACCGAGCTGCTACCGAGCATCCAATAGACCTTAAATGATTTGCAACGTCAAGAGTACGAGTACGGGGCGTCTTGGGTGTGCAGAATGGAGCGACGAGGAGACGTAGGTGTGAAATGGAGTAACAAATCGCTGTGGAGTCGTGGGGAATAACAGAGCCGTTTATTTAGCCAATTGCTTTACGGCTCTGAACTGGATTTCGTAAAACTACACGGACATCTGCGGCGTATATCTGCTGAATTTCATGCAACCCGTCTTGGTGGAAGCATTGTCGCAGCACGCATTTGTATCCGTCCCACCCTGAAAACTCCTTAACTGCACTTTAAACGTTCAGGCAATCAAAAACATCCTTAAATTTATATGATCCGTTCAGATGTGAATCGACGGCATCTTTTTTATGCACTGGGCTCAGCTATTAGACATAAATTGAGCACAGATTGCTTAGGATCAGACTAGATGATAGGGATGATAAAACGGTAAACGCTGAAAGAAGCAATGCAGGAGTATAGTTAAAGTAAAAGGTGTTTGGAGCCAAAAGCGGCATATTTAACAGGGACCCAACTGAAGTGTTTCTCTGCAATATGGAGGAAGATCAAGGCAAAATAAGCTTACTGCTAGATAGCTTCATAAGTAATTACTTGTGAAGCTATCTAGCAGTAAGCAAATCTAGCAAATCCAATTGGATTTGTTGGACAGTATTAATACTATGCAATAAAGTAAACATCTGGCGGGAGCATGCTCGTTTCCCTTAACACATCATCCATTTGTGACACAGGTGTTAAATTACCGAAGTGCACCGATTTAGTTTGAACTCATCTCATCTACCTCCATCAGAGAAACTGATTTTCATTTCCCAGCTACAATTTCCTACAGCTGTGTGTGTCCGGTTGGTTAGCAATGAAAAATCAACAGCGCAAGTGTTTTTTTTTTTCCCCTCCCTCTGCTACAAAAGACAAAGTGCTGAAAGATGACAATCTCGTGTGTTATTTCTGCACAAAAGGTGTTCTTTCACGAGCCAAACAACAGCTCCAACGACAAATGGAAGGGCTGCATTGTGTTCGCTCCGAAATGGAAAAAAAAAAAAAAAAGGAGTTTTCTGTTTCATGAAGGTTTTCTCTTTGTGCGCGACTGTTCATCGCAGATACAAATAGTCTCAAACGACACTCGAGCCTTTCAGAATCTGTTGTCCTGAATTCAAACAATCCAGATTGTTTTTTTTAAATTAATTTTTAGAGCTCAATTGTTTTTCAGTCCTGTTGTTTGGTAGGGTCGTGGCGACATCAAAAAGAAAGACAGAAAAACAGCATGTTTTAGAAACAATGAAGACTTCAGAGCATATTTTAGGCGTCTAAATGTCAAACCAGGAGAGAAACGAAGAGTTCCAAGTCCACTCTGAAAGTTTATATAGTTTATAAAGTAAAAAAAAAAAAAAAAAGAAACTAAAATTTAGAGATATTTCAATAAGATGGACGGACTGATAGATGAGTCTTTAGCAGCTCATGCAAAATAAGCAAAAAATTGAACAAA